TGGCAATGCGGCTATATTAAATTAATTAAAGACTTCTCTCTGTATTCTGACACCGCCATTCATTTCTGTAATGTGATTGCCTTTGTCAGATACATATTATGGGCCTAACAGTTTCAAATCTTGCATATAGTCATCGCGCGGAACGTTGCGGATTCAATGACGATTTTCTTCCTTTTGAGAGTATGGGAAAAGTAAAATATGACTTATTTTGTAATCTTTTGAGAAAAATTCATTTGTTTTATACCTTTATTAAAAAAAACAATTGAGCAGCCTAGAATTATAAATACCAACTGTGTTTTTTATTTTGGAACACCCTTTATAATACTGTGGTACAATTATGTATAGATAATAATCTTTCAGAGTGAAAATTTTATTTATTTAAATCTAACACAATTCTGAATTAACAATGCTAAAGGAAATTATTAAAAATTTATTTGTTTTGTTAAAGTTATCACTTAAATTTTTGTGTACGATTAAATATTTGAAAAATATATGCAGGTACTTTTCCGAACCTATTTCTAATGGCTAAAAATTTACGGTCAACATTAGTACTATCTGCTCCTATCGAAAGACAATTTTTCGAATAGATTCTGCCACAAAAATTTGTGATATATTAAGAAAAACAATTCAAAATACTTTTATATTAAACATTTGGATTAAAATATTGGATCTAATTTTACAGACTTTGTAAATCTGACTACTATTTCTTAACATCACACAACATTTAAAAAAATCAAGAACTATTTGAAACTTCATGTAACTGAAATATAGTTTACGTGATTTCACTGCTTTTGTTTTAACAAATGATATATTAGACTCAAACAAACAAAAAAGTATTGTACTCTACAGGGTGACCGTTAAAGAATGGGCCAAACTTTACCACTAGAGTCTACGACTAAAATTAATGGGGAAATGTCATATACAATGTTATCCATAAACGCTTAGTTTTCGAGTTGAAGTTGAAAAAAACATTTTCTTTACCATATTTCGATTACTTCGAGCTAATTTCGTAAATTTCGTATCTGGGTTTTTTTGGGATGAGAAATTCGAATTTATTGACGATTTCATTGTATCTTCTAGAGGGCGCCACAAGCGACCATTGGGACGCATTTCAACTGCCAAAACTTTTTTGTGTCGCTTGTGTCGCCTTCTAGAAGATACAACAAAATCGTAGATAAAAATAATATATTGTAAAACTGAAGTCATGGTCATAGGTAATGTTTGATATTTGAAGTAATTGATATTAGTAAAACATGTTTTTCCCATGAATTGGTCGGGTCACAACTAAAGTAACGAGCGTTCAAATAAAAACGTGGTCGAAGTTGGCTCTGACACATTGGACGCAGGGAGTAGCTTATAGCGACCAACTTAACCTCATTTCTCAACGAGCTGTATAGCAGCTGTCAGTTTCAATAACGTTAATGACTATATAACTTTATTTTAAAGAATAATCGTGATAACAATAACAAACAATTAAAGGAGCTGCGGAAAGTGTCCCCCTCCTTGTTATAACAATAAATTAAAGCAGCTGCTGAAAGTGTCCCCCTCCTTGTTCCAAGCACTTTTCACACCTGTTCCTCAAAGAATTAAAGACATTTTCTAAGATGCTCGGGGTATTGTTAATTTCACGAATCTTGTCTATAAGTCGAGCCTGCAGATGGTTTAAATCAGGAATAGGCAGTTCAAAAATAGTGTTTTTAAGGTAAGGCCACAAAAAGAAATCACACGGCGTAATATCACATGACCTCGGTGGAAATTCATGTTCAGCATTGAGACTTATTAGTCGATTTTGGAAAACTTCCCTCAACATATTCATCGTCTCGCCTGCCGTATGTGCCCTTGCGCCATCTTGTTGAAAGTAAAAGTTTGTAATTTCGTTTTCTTCCAGCTGGTTAACAAAAGGAGCGATAATTTCTTCTCTATACCTTTGCGCAGTAAGAGTACCATTAAAAAAAATAGGTCCATAAATCCTCCTTCGATTGAGAGCACACCAAACTCCAATTTTTTGAGCGTGTAGAGGGCCCTCGACAAAAAAGTTATCTGGTTTTTCAGAAGACCACATTCTCATATTCTGTGAGTTTACGTAACCACTTAAATGAAACCAGGCTTCATCAGAAAAAAAGGTGATATTATGAAGTTCACCGTAGTTGTTTAAAAACCATTCACAAAATACAGCCCGTCGCGGAAAATCAACTTCATGAAGTTCTTGCTGACAAGTTAAACGATAGGAGAACAAACGCAAATCTTTTTTTAACACTGTGTGGCAGGTACCGACTGATACTCCCACCATTTGTGATAAAACACGTACAGAAGTTCTTGGCGCATTTTCCATTATTTGTTGGACATTTTCTTTTAATTCTTCAGTCCGCTTTTTAGGTCGGCCGCTTCCTTCTTTTCTTGTTACACTGCCCGTTTCACGAAAAACATTAACACAACGCTGAACTGCACTTTGAAAAATTTTGTACTCAACAACGCCGGGAAATTGATTTTGAAATTCTATGAAACATTCCTCAATAGAATACTTCCATATTCCATCAATCTTGCGTCCATTTCTAAAGTAGGACTCTATGATAAACACTTTTTGTTCTTGAGAAAACACCATTTTAAACGCTTTTTAAAACGAAAATATTCAAATTGATAGCGGCGATATAGCGCTTTGACAGATGACGTTTAAGTTAATTTGCTATACGCTACGCCCTACGTCCAAATTTTCAGAACCAACTTGACCACGTTTTTATTTGAACGCTCGTTACATTTGATAACAGCGCATTAACTACTGTAGACAATCAATTGGTTGATAGAGAGAGGAGACATTGCCAGTTGATGGCCGTAATCGAGAAAGTAGGTCGCTATGTGCTGTTGATTATTTGGTTTAACTATAATTTTTTCATTTTGTACTTGGTTTTATGCCATCAGAATAACTAACTCACCATGTTAGTAACACTGAATATCTGGACATATTTTGACATTGAAACACATTTTTATCAAATACTGTGATAATAATGTAGGAACTTCCATTTTTTATTCGTTATTTGAGAATAATATGACGCAAAAATGTTGTAATTTGTAATTTACATTAACTACGTTTGCAAACGTTTTACTTTTATGATTTAATCCACCTAAATTGTTACAAAAATATTTGTGAAGTACACAAATTCATAGGTCAAGGTTAAGGTTAATGAACCCGACACGCGTTGTACTGGCTTGCAGTGCCAGGATGTGCGCCCACTGTAATGCAACGTAGCCACGTTGTGGAGGTTATCAAGGCTTTGCTTCTAAATTTAAATGATAATATTCAGAAATCGGTTAAGTTTTTGTTTGTTTGGGTCCGATCCAACACTTGTTACAGTAATGGCAATGGCATTTGTTATCAATTCATTGGGTCAAAAGTTGAAATAGTAAAAAGAAATGAAAAATAACCGAAAACTTTTGCAAAGCACTTGTCTTTGTCGCACTGTGTTCTGCTACAGAATGCATTAAACTCCCGTCCGTTTTTCGAGGCAACTGTCCGACTAACTCCTTTGGTCATTAGACACCCATTGCGGCCTGTTAATTACAAAATATTAGGCCGTTAAAAGTGGTTTTACACGGTTTGGTGGCAGTTCGTGGGTCATTAAGCCGAGGGGCCGATACCGATTCAGTGCGTCCGCGTTCCACTAAAAGTTATCGGACTGTTAACTCCCCATACATTAGCGCTTTCATCAATTAATTTTGCATGCTCGATATCCCCATTAATTATCCTTCGTTTTAACGAACGCCCCGCCAGAGCAACGAATCTGATTTTGTAACCGCCGCACCGTTTTCATGAAATTAACTCACTTTCAATTGGAAGTTAAAAAAAAACAATTTTTTATCTTTATGGAAAAAGTAAAGTGTTCAGAAAGCGACGGGCATGCTCTAGGATTTGGGTAGTTGACGTTACAAGTTTATACAAAGTTATTCACAAATGATGACCAGAAATGGAACCTCGTATTCTTTGGTGAATTTTAAGGGGAGTCTTTCCTATAAAGTTTTTATCTAGGATGCTTCATTAAAAAGATACAAGGTGTTAAACTTCAAAAAAAATTTTAAATTTTCTATATTTTTATATTATTTAAATTGCCAAAATCCGAGGTCTTTTTCTAAAATTTACAAGCTCCAGTAGCGGAGATCTTCGAAAATCAAGCTTTCTTCCGTAAAGCAGTGGCGTACTATTTAATTTAGAAAAATACCCTGTATCTCCGCCACTGAAACATTTTAGGAAAGTCCTCAAACAATATATACATGTGCTCAATTTCAAATAATTTCACTTACTAGTTTTTAAATTATTTAAAAAAATTGAAAATATTTTTTGAAGTTTAACACCCTGTATCTTTTTAACAAAGCGTCCTAGATAAAAACTTTATAGGAAAGACTTCCCTTAAAATGCACCAAATAATACGAGGTTTCATTTTTGGTCACCATTTGTGAATCACCCTGTATGTTTTTTAAATATGTTTTCTTCTTAAACTTGTCTAAAAAGTTTGAGTCGAGATACCTTTTCTCTTCCAAATTGTACAAGGAATTCAAAAGTAATTTTTATTTTAAGAAAAATCAGTGCTGTAGCATTTTTTTCTTTAAAAATATCCAGAGACTTGCCTGTGCGCACGCCACTGGAGAAACTGAAAGCAATATTTTTATCGTAAAACATGTATTGTAGTTAACTGTCAAAGCTTGTAAAATTTCATTAAAATGTTCTGAGCAGATTCCCCAATATTTTTAAATTTGCATTTTTTACTTAAAACTTTAACACCCTGTAGATCGGAAACTAAGCGTTTTCGAAATATGGTATATTAAGGAAATATATGTCAAATCACTTGTACTATAACCTCCTGCAAGGAATGCATCGACTTACCAAACACCCTGTAGTTTGTTGCATTTAACGTACTCAAAATAGTTTTATTTTACGGAAAACAAATGCACTTAAAAATGTTTATGTCATGCCCCATATTGTTCGTCAATATCCGCCATCTCTTACTCACCGAAATTCCACGAATCCTTGATGAAGCAACAGCGCCATGAAATCCCCCGCCATGTCGTCCCTTTCTCCGGTGAGGAAAAAAATTCCGTCGTAGGCCTCGGGGCGCAGCTCCAGACTCAGCTGGACATGTTTGTACGCTCCCCTCAGAGCTGGAAAGGCCAGCCAGCTGGAACCCGTAAATCTGGGAGACTGTATTTCTTTATCTGCAACAAACAGGAGCATTAGAATAACAGAACTTGGACGTTGAGGGGTCGTCTTATCGTTTTCCCTTTATGTTGCATGTAATAAAATTTGACAGGTTTGGATGTGTGTAATATGTATGAGATGGAATATTTATGGGTGTGGATTTTCCATTTCGCTTCTGTAGGGGCCCTTCTTTGTAATTTAGTATTTCATTATTTTCTTTCGCTCTGCAAATTAAATGCGTTTTTTTTTTTTCAATATAGGTGTTAGAGCGTAAGACAGTCCTGTCGTACTAATCTGGCATTTCATCAATTGCTACAGACCTTTTTTAAGAGACCTGCCACATTAAACAAACATCTACTTTCTATACCCTCTGCATCCTGCACGGTCAAGTAAAAAGCCAGATGTGTACGAAGGCCTGTTGAGGCAACATGTCTCACGACTTTGTTAAAGATTTACATTTTTAATTATATAAATATACAGTCCACTTCATAAAGTTTGTTTGAATAGATGTGAATCAAGTTTTATGCCATCATAGTGGCAATACAGTGTTTTAAGCCATCATAGTGGCAGTACAGTAAACGAAATTGTACAACAGGAATTTTATGTAGATGCCTTAAAAGGATAGATACTAATCTATCGTGAAGTACAACAAAATTCCTGAGTTTAAATCGAGTATTCGCCAAAAGTCACAGCTGGAGTATGTTGTCAAAGCCACATAAAAAATATTTCCGTCAAAAGAAATGAACCATTGACAGTCAAAAGGGAAGCCTTACAGTAACTTCGGTAATTACTTCCCTTTTCCTATAGGAAAATTAGTCTTTTTAAGGAGCAACGTTTCGAATGAAGTCGTTAACACAGATACAAAGGACTAGGATCCTCATGAGTATGGCGATCGGAAACGAACTGAAATTGGGGTTTGTGATATTTTTAACGGTACTAATCCTGGTCACCAGATACACAGGACTACTGTAGGAAGAATCATGCAAAAATTTAGGTTCTTGCATCATGTACAAAATCTGCCAAGAACGGGTCGCCCCACAGTACACGAAAATACTCAATTAGATGTTCTTACCGTCGCCGTCGGTGATATTCCTCAAGCAACAAGACGACAGGTAGAACATTAGCCATAGTACCGTATACAGAATTTTTAATTGACAAAAATACCATCACTACAAACTTCGATTGGCTCATGAATTAATAGAGGTCGATTTTGATTGTCGGATGGAAGTTTGCGAATTAATGCAAAATCGCTGTAATGATGATTAGAACTTCGTCAGGCTACGTTTTGCTTGAACGGCGCAATCAACAGACAAAATTGTCGACATTGGTCCCTCAAAAATCCACTTTAAAAAAACACCTGAAACAATCAGGAATGTGTAGAGAGAGTTTATCAGCAGGCTGGATCATTGTCGAGCTGCAGGCGGTCGTCAGTTTGAACATTTGGTTCATTAAAATCAAATAAAAACAGCTATTTCAACAAAATGTGTTTATACTTTCGAAAAAATTTCCAAACCGGTACATGTAGCACACCAAATTAATCAGAAAGACCTAAGCCTTCATACGGTCCAATAAAAAAAGGTAGTTGTCATTGAAAAAAGCAACCCTATCCTCCTCTCGCCGCCACTGGTTACATTTTTGAAAATATAATTTCACCGAAATTCATGCCCATAAAAAACAAAATTGACTCATCCGAGCGATTTTTCCAAAAATTGCGTTTCCGAAATTTGCATGACATTTGAGACACACTGTATGTAAGTACACCTCACGCGGCAACCTGATTCTAACTTTAAAGTAATCAGGTTTTCAGAAAAATAAGAAATTCATTTTCATAAAAAAAAATAGGGTATGTTACAACGTTATGAGAACTGGGGTTATGTCTAATGTTCTAAATTCTTAATGAATAAATAATGAAAAGGTAAATAAAAAAGGTAACCATGCAGGCTTTGCCTTGCCTAAGCACTTTACTTGAGTAGAGTACCTAGGGTTTGAAAACTAGATATGATATTTAGGCCAGGCGCAATGTTTTGAATTGTTAGAAATTTCATTTCTACCACGCGCGCTCGCTATGGGACCTATAGCATAGGGGGTTATGTGCACGGAAAGTGTCAGATAGTACAAGGGTGTGATGTTAATTTCATAGCGCAACGCTCGACGCTTTCCTTGCACATAACCCCCTATAGGTCCCATAACGACTCGCACTTGTGATAGAAAATAGTATGTGCAACTTATTCGGAAAAGTTGCCATAGCGCCACGAGCGAAGCGAGTGCGTCAACTGCGCCCGCGTGGCGCTATTTTCAACTTTTCCTCACTCGTTACACAATGTATTATTATTGATAATGTACAGGGTGTCTAACGGTGACGGCGCATTAGAATTATTTCAGAGAACACTTGGATTTGAATTTTGAAAATTTGGGGTACCGGGTTTTCGGGCATGCCCTTTTCAACTAAAATAATGGCGTCCACGTACCACTTCCGGTTATATCAGAAGTCGCCATCAACTTGCTTATTTTAAATAGAACACCCTATATATTATTGCAATTTTGGATTCTACGTGGTATTTATGTGGACTTTTATGAAGTTGCTCTATTCCTAAAACTAACCGTTTTCGAGATATTCAATTTTTTTCAAAAAAATGGAGAGAAGCAGTGACTTGCTTCAAACATTGTGTATTTTATATTAAGAAAGATAAAGCAACAATATTTATTGGGGGGATAGCTAGACCCCTAAGCTTCCCATCCATACTTTCAAAGTGGCTTAATTGCATACAGAGTGCTAGAAATTTAAACTTCAAACCCTCATAAGTCGGGTTTTTTTAATGGAATATGATGTATGTTTTTCTATATTCTGATACACAATTTTATTCTCTTTCGAACGGTATCAGGGTTCCCTATACCTGTCTTCTAGTTTTTCAGCTGCAGGCAATTAATGGAACGCTCTTCTTATTCGAGCAATCAAATCCTCTTTAGAAGCAACGGGTAGAATACATTTTTTGCTTTATTTCTCCCCAAACATAAAAATCTAATGGAGTAAGGTCGGGAGACCTCACTGGCCAATTCCACGGGCCTAGGCGTCTCATCCATCTATCTTCAAACATTGCAGTCAGCTGTTGATCGATTTGATTGTGACAGTGAGGTGGAGCCCCGTCTAATTGATACCAACACTTCCTCAGTTGGTCTAAAGATATATCATCTAGAAAATCTGCCACAACCGTTTGCAAAATATTGCGATATATGTCGGCATTTAAATTTTCTTCGTAGATATGGTTATCTTTAATTATCATTAGTTCTTAGCATCCTATGAATGGACGCTCGTGAAATGCCTAAATCATACTCTGCGGCACGAGTTGAGGATTCTGGATGAACATTAAAATAGAATACCACATTTATTACAATATTTTCATTTGAAATTATTGGTTTTGGTAAAATTCTTTCTGCGCAAATATTCTAGTTGATTTGCTAAAATTCTTCTTAACTGTTTTCTGCTCATTGGTGGCAAATTTGGATATGACTCATTAAAAACTGTACATGTTCTGCTTGGGATTATTGCAACGTCCGTGAATGAATAATAAATTTAAAATATCAGCATTTGAATATGTACTGCTTTCCATTTCTTATAAATTAAACTGTCACTGCAAGAGACTAACAACAAATTGACATTTTAGTTGTTTCTTTTGAAGGTTTGCTAAAAATTCCACAGCTATCTTCGCAAGAAATTACATAATTTTAGGCGATTACACAAAAAATAGTAGATAACTTGAAAACTCGAAGAGATAGGTACAGGGAACCCTGATACCATTCTAAAGAGAATAAAATTGTATATCAGAATATAGAAAAATATACAGGGTGTTCTATTAAAAAAAAACGACTTATGAAGGTTTGAAGTTAACTAAACTCGGTATTAAATTTCTAGCACCCTGTATACCGTTAAGCCACTTTGAAGGTATGGATGGAAAGTTTAGGGTTTTAGCTATCTCCCCTAGAAATATTGTCGCTTTATCTTTCTTAGTATAAAATACACATGGTTTGAAGCTAGTCACAGTTTCTCTCCATTTAAAAAAAAATTAAATATCTCGAAAACGGTTAATTTTGGGAATAGGGAAACTTCATAATATAACACGTAGAATCCAAAATTGCAATCATATATAGGGTGTTCCATTTAAAATAAGTAATTTGATGGTGATTTCCGGTATAATCGGAAGTGGTACGTGGACGCCATTATTTTAGTTGAGAAGGGCATGATCGAAAACCCGGTATCCCATATTTTCAAAATTCAAATCGCAGTAGTCTCTGAACTAATTCTAATGGGCCGTCACCGTGAGACACCCTGTATATGTTTATCATGTGCAAAGGTCTTTGTACAATGCAATGCGAAATAATTTGAATCTTACGACACTTATTGGCAGGTATCCCTGATTAATGAGGTGCACGGTACCAGAGTCGACGTTCAACCACACCCTATAGTCGTTTCGCAGTGTAATAGAGATGTTTGTCTCAGGATTACACGTTTGATTTTTTCCGTCTCTTGGCATAGATTCGGCCCTCCCTGAACTCTGGTATTGTCTGCATGTTGTTATTCCCCAGTTCGAATTTCGTAGTATTCGGAGAACTTTTCAGATTCCGAAATTCGAAACTGCGGACGATCGTTCTGTATGGGTCTCTGTCGGTGTCATCTGCTACAGCCCTTGTTATTAGGGGGGACTGGCAGCTTCATGGGAGGTTTTGTAGGGAATTTTCTAAACCTATTTGAAAATTTATATTATTTCCATTCTCCATATTCGGCTTCATGGGAAAAAAGCCCGATGCTTTAGATAAACATGATATTCTTGAGGTTACAGAATAGCTGTGTTTTTTAACGTTACATGACATTTATTTCTACAATGGTTTGGTTGTTTTTATGGCACATTTGACAATCTTGTTGCAGTAATAAAATAATTATATACTAGACTATTTTGTAATTTTTTCCCCAAATTTTTCGTGAAAATCAGATTCAGTAAAAGAATGTCATTAACTTAAAAAA